CACATACACACACGCACGCATGCACACGCACACGCACGCACACACACACACATACTCACCAGGCAGCGGCACCAGGTCCTTCATGTAGGGCACCAGCTGCTTCTGCAGCTCCCAGTCCAGCACGGCCGCGCGCTCCATGGCCTCCGCCATGTTGAGGCCGCTGATGTCCCAGCCCCCCAGGACGACGTCGTTGGGGTCCACCATGGGCAGCAGCGACTTGAAGGGCGCAAACACCTGGGGGGGGGGGTGCACCAGAGGGGGGGCGCGAGGGAGGGCTTCAGATGGTGACGCGGGTGCTGGCTGAACAAATTCCGATACCTTTTGCAAGTGCCAGGGCCGGGGCCGCCTGCACCAGTGGCAAGCTGCTGCTGTGCACTCGCCCAGCCGCCCCGCCTGCAGGGCGACCCAGTCGCCAACCCCAACAACCAGCAGCGCCATCGTCAACGAGCCTAGGCGCCCATCGCGGCAAAGCAGCCGCCACCGTGAAGGTGGCGGCTCGCCCGAGCCGCCCCGCGTGTCGACACCCTCGCCGCACCTCCTCGCCCTCGTAGTTGCCCAGGCGCACTGTGGCGGCCTGGGTGAGGGACCCCCAGTAGTTGGGCTTCTTCAGGCCGTCCTTAGTCATCCACGTGATGCCGCTGTGGGAGCAGGGCAGGGGGTGTGGAGGAGGAAGAGGGGAATGAGATGGATGGGTGCCAGCTCAAGATGGGTGCCGCCGGAACCTGCAAATGCCCGGGCAGCCGCAGGTCAGCGACCGCCCAGTCTGCAGAAGCTGCCGCCCGGCCAGCCGCAAGCGCCGCCAGCGCCGCCAGCAAGGGGAGCGGAGCCGCCAGCCGTGCCCCCGCGGCGCGATGAATGCTGGCAGGCGCAGCGACGACCTTGTGCACTGGCATGTCCCCGCCATGCCTATTTCGCGCGCGCAAAAGCTGCTGCCAACTCACTGCTTATTGGCAAGGATCCCCGCTGCAACGGTGGTGCCGTTGTTGCCGCCAAGGCCGACCAGCATGATGCTGCAGGGCAAGACATGCATGGCACGGGCATGCAATGCAAGCGTGTCAACTCCAGGGGCAGTTCAGGTGATCGCAGTAAGGGGTGCCCCGCCGCGTGGACGCGTGCGGCGGGCAGGCGCCTGCCAGTGACAAGGGGCGATCAAATCGTGCGAGCTCGCCGCTTGCCAACACCGCATGGACGTCGCAGCTGTGGCGACTCAGCTCCAGCCATGAACTCTCACTCTCAGCGACCCAGGCCCCATGCGCTGCGCCGCCGCCTCAGGCATCGTCCCACGAGAGCCCCAGCACGCCTGGCATGCGTCCCACGCACCCTAGCTTGGGGACACGGCGGTCGACCGCGAATTCGTAGGTGCTGGAGGTGGGCGCGACCTCAAACTCGCCCGCGTCATTGCGGCTGATGCGCGTGCTGTCGTAGCGGTAGGTGGACTCGATCGCGTCCTCCGTGTAGCGCACGTTGGGGGACACGACCTTGAAAGTGTCGACCAACATCTTGGAGGCTGTCGGCGGGCCGCGAGGAGGCGCACACGCGCAAAGTTTGGTGGATCAGTGGAAGGTGGCGCCATGCTGCGCGCCAAGCGCGAACCAGCAGCAGGCTGTCTTGCGCATTAGGACAACGGCGGTCTGGCATGAGAACTGACCCAGCCGCACCAGTATGTGAAGGCCGCGTGAGAGTAGTGTGCGCAGGCCTGCCCTGTGCTGAAGCGACTGGAACCTGATCGCAAGCCCGCGTGGACGGACTGCAACTTATCAGCTACGTCTCCAAATAAACAAACGAGATATGTGACACCGTCACGGTCGATGCCGCGAGTCGGGACAAGGTGGTGCACAGCTAGGAGGTGCTCGTTACGGGTAAGATATCTGCTACCGCGTATACCATTCAATTGAAGATATTGTGCATCGGTGCATGGGTTGCAGACCACATGCGCGACCTTGTCACTGGGTGTGCTCATGCCCCGTCCACTGCAACAAGTCATCGAATGGGGTCGGGCTCGGGTCGGATCCCAGCAACCTGTCGTCCAGATAGATTTTTTCTTTAACAACCATATCAGCAGGGCAGCGTTCGGTACTCTGTGAGTGCCGACCACTTGGCTTGGCGCCGCAACGCACGGCGCTGCATGGTGCCCATTCGATTTGCGAAGCCGCGTGCAGGACACAGCAATGGCGTCCATCAAGGAGGTCATCATCGTGTTTGGTGTGTTGCAACTGCAGTCCGCATCTCATGCATACTCCTTGTTTGCGCGGGGGTGCTTGGCCAACTCTGTGGGCAGTGGCCAACGCGAACGGGTGCATGACGGCTTCCGTTGTGCGCGACGGCTGGCCGATGCATCACCTGCACCTTGATCCAAGCTTTTGGACTATGTGTGCTCCAAACAAGAGCCAAATCCCACGTCGGGGCACTCAAAAAGGACGCACTCGTCTGCTGGCGGCCCCTCCCTGAATTTAATCCTTCACAGCCATGGAGGCAGAGGCGACGCCCGCGGTAAAGCGCCTGGGGCTTCAACAAGACGACCCAAGAATGTGAGCGGCCAGCTGTGGCAGTTGATCAGTAGTGGACCTGCGGTGGCTTCGGGTGAGGTGACACCCCTTGAATAATTCAAGACCGAGTACCAGGCAGCTAACAAACCCCGCCCCCCCCCTCCGTCTTCATCGCCTCCCTGGCAGCATCCCCGGCCCCGCGCCGTGCGTGACCTTCAGCGGCGACTATGAGGGCGTGGCGGTGCACGTGGTGTGGACGGGGCGCGACGCCAAGCACGGCGTCGACCTCGTCGGGACAGTGCCAGCCAGCCTGGCCACCTACCTTGCTTTGCAGGTGGGTGCCGCCGGCAGCTGGTTGGTTGGCACCACCACTCCGTCTGCCGTCAAGGGAGGGGGAGATTGTTCAGCCAGCAGACCCAACTGCCGCCTGGGGTGTTTGGGCGCACCGAGGCCAGATCCCACAGCCACACCCGGCCTGCGGCAGCGCCTGCCGCGAGCTGGCCGCTGTGCTGGCGAGGCCTGCGGGGAGCCCGCAGGCGGCGTGCCGGTGAGTGCGAGCTCACTCTCGCGCGCGGTCGTTGGGCGCACTCCCGATGCACACAGGCATGGCCGGACGCGGATCTGGTGATCAGCTCGGGCACTGCTGGTGGCTTCAAGGCACAGGTGTTTGGTTTGCTGAGTCAAGGGGTGGGAGCACTGCAACAGCAAAGCGGTTGTCAGTGGTGCCTGCACGATTGACGCTTCACACCCAGTATAACACCCTTCCCAGATGACAGCCGGCATTGCTGGTTATTGTGCCCCTCACCTTGACAGCAAGTTGGGTGCAGCACCTGAGAAGCCACCATCAACGGCATTGCGTGCCCGCGCGTGCACAACCAGGGAGCCGCCATTGGTGATGTGTTCGTGTCGACCGGCAAGCTGCACCACGACCGCCGCATCCCCCTGCCCGGATTTGACAAGGTGATGCTTCGCGCGCAGGACCATGCTCGGCCGCTCACGCGGAAGCCGCTGGCGCCCCAGCACGGGCTCCCATGGCTGCTAGTGTGCATCCGGCGAGTCAAGTCCCTTGCTTGTTCGAGCAGCATGCGCCCCTCCTACCCTGCCATCCAAGCATGAGGCAAGCTCCAAACCTCCTCAACCCCTTCATGTTGAATTCTTCCTCCTCCAAACTCCTGCCCACCTCCCCACCAACGCCCCTCCACCCGACGACCCAACAGTACGGCATCGGCTTCATAGAGAGCCTGCCCACCCCCAACCTCCAGGCCGCCCTAGGCCTCAAGGCGGGCGTCGTCAGCACGGGCGACTCACTGGACTACACTGTGAGGCTCGGGCGCTGTTGACCGCCTGGCCTCGCGCCGCGCAGATGATCTTGCAGGCCTGAGGCCGCTTGCTGAGACGGCTGTGTCTAAAGCAGCTCCGCCTGCTGCTAAGCCTTGTGTCACCGCACCCCTCCCTGGTTGATACCCCGCTCTACCAGTCTACCCTTGCATCGGCCGGGCGTCAACCCCACCCCCCCCATCAGCACTCCCCACTCTCAATGACCCTCAACGCTACTCCTCCAAATGCTTCGTTGTGTGTGACTGCCGCCAACCGCCGACAGGACAAGGACATGGCGGTGATGCTGGACCACAGCGTCGCTGTGAAGGAGATGGAGGCGGGCTCGGTGGCCTGGGCGGCGCAGCTATTCGGCAAGCCCCTGCTGTGCATCAAGGTGTGCCGCAGCCGACCGCCCTTCAAACCCTGTATGCAGCCGAGGATGGCTGGTGTGCTGCCATGCGAGACGGGCAGAAACTTCATCGGAAACATCCGAAGCTGCGCAGCCAGCCTGCCCCGCCGTCATTGACTAGAGCAACGCACAATCTACATATCTTGGTGCTGAAACTGCAACCGCCTTGCAATGACATATCGCGCAGTCCATAACCGACATCGTAGACGGCGACAGGCCCACAACTGAGGAGTTTTTGGAAAACCTCAATACGGCGGCGGCCGGCTTGCAGGCGGTGCTGCCGCGGGTGCTGGAGTTTCTGGGCGGCAGGGGCGTGCAGGATCTGTGACGGTTGGTGCCGATAGTTGCATAACACACAAATTGATGGAGGCGGTGCCGAGCTGTAGGCATGCTCGAACTCTATTGGTTGCCAGTTGAGACTTTGGCCAGTCAACCAAGATCACAGCATGACTCATGGCCTGGCCCTATGGGCGACCCAACCGGGCGCCGCGCCCCAAGTGCTGGTTACTCAGGGAGGGCCCTGGAGCTCGGACCGCCGCACCCAATTTGCTTGTGAAAGTCTAAAAGCGCATTGTGGGG